AGGAGGTTCTTCTCTCTAGCATCTAACACAGTGTTTCTCAACTTTGCCCACTTTAATTTGTGTGGACTTCAATTCCCAGAATTCCCCAGCCAGCTCATGCTGGCTGGGGAATTCTGGGAGTTGAAGTCCACACATCTTGCATCCATGAGGGCTCTTCCCTCACTGTTGCAAGAAAGAAAAGGAACTCAGCCAGCGTCCTTACAGTCTCCTTTCACCCAGAAAGGAAGGTGAAAGCCGGCTCACTTTGGACATGACTATTTTTTAATGGTCCAACCTGATGTTTCATCAGCTTTGTTAAGAGGATTTAGCACTTGGGATCCTGGCTGTGGGCCATGTTCTTATACCATTTTATATTACTGCTGCAGACCTCAAGCAGTCACGGTTGACGCCGTAGGCAATGTTCCTCCTGTGAGGGAAAAAATAACTTTTGCTCCAAGGGAATGAGCGAGATCCGATAGATTTTAAAAAGAAGAAAAGGTCAGAGGCAAGATCAGCTCGCTCTCTCTGTGTCTCTCTTTTTATTGACTCAATTCGGCTTTGGAATTTCTTCTTTCCTTCTATTTCATTTAATTAGCAGCCGGCTAACAAGCCTCCCCAGCGTGGCATTGACCCGCTTGTCTCCCGAAAGCTCCAATCTGCCGCCGACCAGCATGCCTGTGCTAATAATATCCAGATATTCTGTTCATTCTTCTGGTCTCATTGTTCATACTTATCCTTCTGCTTTGCTAGTTCCTCATGCCTGAATTTCCATCCTTTTAGAGCGTACTTCTTCCTTCCCCGAGAGAGCTGCATTTTCCTACACCTTCTATGTCTTTGCTCGTTGATGGAAGCAAGAAACAGCGAATGTTTCTGTTCCTGCACCAGCCAGAGAAGCGGTGGACGCTGCTGTTTCCCTCTTTAATTTAATCCTTGGTGGTTATCAGTTCTCAGATATTGCTGAACTTTTAAAAATTTTCTGCTCTGTTTCCTGCGCTTGCATTTTATTTTGCCCGGGAGATTATTATCGTATCCCCTGAGCTTTTCCTCATTCCGCTGGCCTTGTTTTATTTTTCCTGCAAGCGGGAAAATGCTTATTTCTCTTTGCTTTGAGTTGCTCCTCATCTTTTCCCCTTCCCGGCTCAGTTTGCGCGGACTGCGCTCTCTGCATTTTCTCTTTCTGCTTATTTTTAATCTCAGTTTAATAGTAAGAGAAGCTTGTGCCATATTTTGCAGTAATGTGCCTTCCCCCCTATTATTTACGACGTTCCTGGCCAACTGATATTCTTTCGTTTGTATATTAATATGCCACTTTCCCACGTGAATGCCATTCTATTCATATTGGCGTGCAATGTTCCTGTGTAGATAAATCAGTTTGAAGTGTAGTAAAACGTACAGTAAAAATGTTACAATATCAACATCTCATTACTTAAACCAAATCAATAAAACTCAACACAATGGTTTTTTTTTTTCTTTTAAAAAGCTGCTTGGAGGCAGTTCCCACTAGCCTGCATGATTTTTATATTTCAGCGATTTCTTCCCTTGCAGAACAGACAGCCATAGTCTGCCCCTGGGAATTGTTCGAGATTTCAGTTGTGAGAAGAGAAATTGGACGTTCTGGATCCCCCAAAATCGTGACACTTCATTCCGGACCAATGAAGAGATGTTCTGTATTTATATTTATATTTATATATTTAAAACAGGTCAAGTTTCAAAAGATAAGCAACGATTTTTTAAATTTTACATGGTGGGAAAAAACCCGATGCCAGGAACAATTAAAACGTTACCCATGCCAATCAATAATTACTTCATCTTTCTCTTCCGCTTCCTCTCTCTTTTCTCTTCGTGCTGTATGTCTTCTCTTTATTCCTTGCCTCTCCCGTTTTCCGTAAAAGGTTACGTAAAAGCAAATCATTTGTGTGAGGTGAAGGCAGAAAGCATTAAACGTGGAGGTCAGAAAAATAGGAAGGTCACAAACCATAAACCACAATGGCAAAATAGCCTGCAGTTGTAGAACATCCAGTAAAAAAGATCATTTATGAAGTCACAGAAAGATGATAATTATCACCATGCCTGAGAGCAGGGTTTCTCAACCTTGGCAAGTTTAAGATGGGTGGACTTCAACTCCC